CATCTGCGTGCCTGGGACATCAGACTGGGGCTTGACAAGGTCCAGGCTCAATACCTGGCTCTGCCACAGGCTTACTCAGTTAAATACATGCAGCATAGTTATTGCGCTTAGCCAAGGTCTCAGTTGTCTGCTTTAAAATACAGTCAACAATTCTACACCTATCAACACAAACATCCACAAGGGTATCCACGTAAAAATAGGCTGCAGTAGATGTCCTCATGTGAGGATGGGAACTGGAAAAATGCAGCAGGCAGTAAAATGCACTGCAAGGGTCTACGAGCCTGTCAGAAGTCACTCGTGTCCAATAAAACCCAGAGACTGAGTACACAACTGTGCAGCTGCAGCACGGAGACAATGACGGATGAGAAGAACAGGAGACAGGTCCCCAGTGTCCCCAATGCTCTATTTGATATACGAGGAGGAGCAAAAGCGACCATCTAATAATCACATCAGCAAGACACCCGAAATGGGCTGCTTTCCTCCACACCTTTCTGCACTTCGATGTGGATGGGTCACATCACATTGATGCCTGCACAAAATGTGCCCCTCACAACCTACTTCCTCAGCTGGCAAGAAGGAGAAGTGAGGTCTTATCTCCTCGGCAGGCAAAACTCTGGATAGTGCTGAGGGAAGCTGGCAGCTGCACTTACATGTCTGCATCCAGGCCAGCTCTGCTCTGCAGGTTTTATCTCCATCCACTCCAGGGCTATGCACCTTTCAACACCCTCAGTGTCAAATAGCTTCATGCCCCCAAGCAACATAAACTTCTACAACCGCAGTAACTCACAGATGGGTATGGACGGTTACAAAATCACATCCTAAATTAGGACAAAGAAGCTGAGATTGGAAGAGTAGGAGGAAGTCAGGAAATCCCAGGAGACGATGATGGGGGAGGGATTTAGTCTCTTTAGAAAACAATAATGCAGTTTAATCTATTTTTCTTTTGACTTTACACACTAATATAAGCTTCTCAGCTTCTGGGGCTGTCACAAATCATAAGGAAAATAAGGCCACTGGAACCCCATCAGTAGAAGAAGAGCTATATAGTAATAATCCTGAGGAGCTGCACAGGGCTTTCCATCTTCAAAGTGTTCTACAGACAGTAATTTATTAATCTGCAAATTTCCCCTGGCCATAAGCAACTGCTCTGCCTCTCTGCTAAGCACAGGAGAGACACACAGACTGGCACTCAGGAGGGATGGTGCAGGCAGCAGCTCTGACATCCAGAGCCAGACCTCAGTTTCTAGCTTGCTGTGGTCAGAACTTTGCTGCTCCAATCGCCACTGGAATCCAGAAGCACTGGTGACATCTGTCACTTTAGAGCAAACTTCAGACGGGATAAAACCAGTACCTGAGAGTCTCTGGTATGGGGGAGTGTAAGAGACATTCTCACAATCCAGTAAATAACAGCAAAGCCCAAAATAAAACTCCCAGCACAGAGGCTCCTGGCTGCCTTACAGCCACTGCCTGCCATGCAGCGTCACTCTGGGCAGAAGCTGGCCCCAGTCCTGAGCTCATCTTACCACACAGCCCATCTGATAGCACCCAAGGGAGCTGTCAGAGGAGTTTCCTATGCAAACATGATGCTTCCTCCCACCAGAGGACTATTCATGCACAGCAGTCACCTGTTCACACTAGATGGGTCCTTTAGATGATCGATACGAAGCTGTTCCTCCTCTCCTGGCAGCAATATTCTTCTGGTTTTCGAATTCCCCAAGACAATATCCCTAACCATTTTCCTCTCCCTAGCCCTTGTCCTGCAAAAAATGGGGGTTCCTGGAGAACGAGAGAGCAGCCTCGTTAGCACAGAGAGAAAAATGGAACAAGGAGCACAACTACAGCTATATCTTCTAATTAATTCAGTATCTAAATAGACCAGCTTTGTTTGGAAACAAGAAGATAACATTATTCTGTATTCATACTGGCTATTATGCTCTTGTTCAACTTTTTTCATCTCTTTTAAGTCAGTGTATATTTATATAAGTTCAGTAGTGCCAAAGAAATCATTGTAAGACCAAAACCGGATTCCTCATTTTTTGCTGTCTTCTGGATATCAGAACATCTGGGTTCATTAAGCATCCTACAACATGAGCACAGAGATGGAAACGTCATTTCCATCTTAAGGATGGCTCAGCTGAGGCAAGGAAAGCAGAAGACCCTGAGTACCACTGCAAAAAAATGTCCTAAAGGTCATGAGTAGGAACTGAAAGCCAGGTACCACAGATAATTCATATTCTCAAAAGCAGAAGAGATTTGCCTACACAGACAGCATGAGCGAGTAGCAGACTCAGGCACAAATTCAGTCTCAGACTCCAAGTCTTTTACTCTACACTACTTGGATCACACTTCTTTTCCTCATCCAGCATGTGGCTGGAAGCAGAAACAGCAGAGTCCAAAACAGATGTTTAGAGCCACAGTACTGTTGGCAAAATCTAGTGGGGGGAAACAAAGTTTGTGGATTTGTCTATCTAGTAAGAAGTAGGGTGAAGTACGACACTGAAGGCTTCTGACACAGTGCCAGGGGCAGTTGCCAGACCTTCTGGCTGATCTGGATGGAAAGGCCATCTACATTATAGCTGGGGCAGTGCTGTTGTTTCATAGCTGAAGTTTACTAAGTGTTGGCTCCTCATCCCCTCTGTAAGATCAGAGACCTTGGGACCCAGCAGAGACGTTAACCCCTGGATTTGGGCAGTCCCCTGTCAGCATTGCTGACCTCTCTGCTACCCTACGAAGGGCTGCAGAGGGTGGCAGGAAAATTGGCAGCAAAACATAACAGAACTTGTGCCTCCAGCCTTCCTCAGCCCCTTGCCAGCCTGGGCTGGAGAGCGCTGGTCCCGACAATATAGCACTGTGTGGCCGTTAGAGCAGTGCACAGAAAAAGATCCCTTTGAAATGGCAAATCCCTACCAAGTGACACTTCTTAAATGTTCCAGGAGCCAAGTTCCCCGATGTGAGCCACGTCCTTCCTTGGTGTTAGGAGACCACTGGGGAAGCTGCAGACTGTGCACAGCCCTTCTGCATTCACTCCAGATAACCCTTGCTCTGCTTCCCCCACCTACGCTCCCTGCTCTGAGGAGAAAAAGCAAGCCCAGATGCTGTAACATTATCAGAGCATGTCTGGTCTCCCACACTGTTCTGTATTTACGACTTTGCAAGGGTGAAATGAGCTTCAGTTGCCTTTTGGTGCCAGTCCCAGGAAACCCTGCAGTGTAACAGAGGGCTGCACAGACGGCTGCCCCTCCATCCAAGTACAAACAGTCATCCAAGCCCGTCAGGAATAACAAAAGACATTTTGACAGCCCAAAGTGGATTTTGATGTCCATGGAACAAAAAGGAAGCTCTGAACTGAAGAGTAGGTGTATCACCCATGGACCTGCAGAAAAATACACACTTATGCTACAGTAGATTTGCAGAAGAAATGTAGTTTAACTGATCATGGGGCCAAAGCATCACCTTTCCACACTTACATTCTTGCAGCACACTACAAGGGCATTAACCTTCCTCTACAGAAAACCTTTGCTACAGGAGGAATATTTAAAAAGCACTATATACCTCACAGAAATGCATGGAGGGTTCTACCAGATCTATTTGCAGGAGCCTGTGTGACCCAAACACGCAACTCATGGCTCCCAGCTGATAGTCTCAGCTTTTAGAGTAGCTCTAACATTTCCTGGGCAATCCCATTCAACTACATCTACCTCTCATTTCTGAGAAAGCCCAAGATGATTGCACATGGGGTGTCGTAACGCTGCCTCAGCAGGAGGAGGTTATTGCATTGGTGGTGAGCAGAACAGGACGTCCAGAAGCACACACAACATGGGGAATTTCCCAGAGAGCAGCAGCACGTGTCACTGCATCCCTCCTCCCCAGGCACTTCTATTGCCTAGGGCTTAACAGAGGAGACTTGGGCCACATATTCTTTCTGCTTTGCCATTTCCCCATTGCTCACCAATTCCACCAGGCCCTCATTCGTCAGGATGGGACATCCCCTACTGAAGACTACAGCCTACTGTGAATACTGTGAATGCCTGCAGCCTTTGGGCAACCCCAGGAGAAAAAAACTCATCCCTCAGCCACTGCAATGGCCCCTGCACTGAGAAAAACCTCATTGAGGTATGTGATGAATCTGGCCCAAATAATTCAGTGTGGTCCAAAAGATAACGATGCAAGAGCTGTTCACTTCCTCAGGGTATTACAACTCCTTGTTTGCAAGTGCTGCAGAGGGGCAAGAGTTCATGGGGGGACTTGCTGATCCCCTGCACAGGCCTTATGTTTGAACACTTCCCCCTGTAAAGCCAGTGCCTGTTCTTTCCTCCCTCCCCCTTTCCATTTGCCTCCTGCAAATCATGCTCTCTCCTTCCACCCCCAAATAGGAAGTCCGGAGCTGAGACACACACAATCTGCCTCTTCACAAGAGCTGGGCTGAACTTGTGCCAGAGGAGCTGCGAGCATGACAACATACTTCCTGTCAGGAAAGTGACTCAGTGAGATGGGTATAAGAGCTTTTCTTACTCAAGAAGTTCCCCTCTCCCCTTGCGTTGCTGAGGCATGAGTCAGAATCTGAGCGCCGGAATCTCAGCACCCTCCAGATCCAACCAGGAAGAGCAGAGTTGAGGTTTAAGCTCAGGTCCTGCTTGTAACTCAGTGACAAGTCAATGCCATGTGCCAAGTCCTGGTCCTGCCCCTCACAGAAGGAAAATAACAATGCTGATCAAGTGGACAGCTTGAATTTGCTAAGCACTTCTAGGTCAAGGTGGTGCTTATTGCTGCATGCTAATGCACCCATTTCTGCCGTGCTCATAGCCTCTGTGTGTGAGCATTATTCCATCCCCCCACACAACATCGTGTTCATGCGTTGTGCTGAAGTATTTTGTACACAATCATTTAATCCTGAAATACTGTAAAAGCTCAAAAACCACTGTAGCCAGTTTTCTTTCTCTGGCCTCAGATGAGCTCCTCCTGTGACAAGTGGGCAGACCCACTGTGCGTCGTGTCCTTACCTGAGCTGCTGCCAAGGGTGACCATGCACAGCCAGAGCACAACCAGCAGGGCCCCGACCATCTTCATCCTGCCGAGACAAAGCACACACAGAAGTTCTAGTCATTTTATACTGTTTCAGCACTGCAGACAGTTTTTTTTAACTCTGAGCCTGTGCGTTTACTCCTCCAGCTACCCAATGATCCTTTAATTCTGATTTTTTTTTTATTATTTCTTTCAGATTCCTTGAGAACAGCATCTGCATGGCAGTGTCCTTCTGCCTGCAGGCAGCTGTCTGGGAGGTGACAGTTCAGAAGAGGACAGCCCAGTTCATTGACTTAAGTCACCAGAATAGTGTATATCCATGAACACAAGGAGTAAGGTAGATGCTTTCAGGCTAGAAATCCCAAGCTTTGACTGCCAAACCACCACTGCCCTTCTCCCAGACTTCATTCTGCTCATTTCTAAGAGGGGGTACAGAGAGCACTCACTATGGGGAGCAGCAGCTGAAGCACATTTGCACTGAACACGCGTCTGACAGTTCAGCATGACAACCACGCTGGTGCAGTCCAAATTTGCAAGGTCTGCTGCTGGTGACCTGTGAAGAGGCCAGCTGCCAGAGTCCTGACTGCTTTACCTCATTCCAGCAGGCAGGTCAAAGCAGGACAAGGCTCCACCAGCTCTTTCCAGCCAAACCCTCCCTGCAACGGCCACCTCACTGGAGTCAGCAAGTGCCAGGTTTGTATGCTTTTCAGAGATGATCTGAACAAAGGTTTATACTTCCAAAGCAGCACTGACAGGCAAAAAACAATCCCAGGCTTTTTTGTTCCCACTACAGAGCACAATTTCCTGTAATTTGAGATAAATGTATACTGCCAGAGTTTCACTTGCCGCCTGCTCCGGTACCTGGCATTCGTCTCTCAGAGCTACTCGCTGGAATTAAATTTCTCTGTGTTTCTAGGTTTTCCAGGATGCACCTTATAAGCTGGTAGTCACAAAAGCTGGCATTTACTAGGTGCTCTCGTTAATGGAGCGAAGGTTGCATTTGATATTCCTGGGTGCTGTCAGATCATAAAGGGAGAAGAGATGGTTAAAAGGCTGAACTTCATGAAAGCACCTCAGCTTCGCCAGGCAGATGCTGTAATGAGCACAGTGATACTGTCAGGAGTGTGCTCATGAGATGACAGGGAAATCTGCTCCATCGGGGGGGGGCTAAAAGGGTGGGGAGAGAAGTCACAGAGCTCCTTTAAACACAGCCCTCATAAACCTGTCCACAGCAAATGTGTTACACAGAAGGGCTTTGAGCATACGCAGAGAGCACCCAAGATTGCACAGACTGCAGGTATTGACAAGAATGGGACATGTGAACTGTACTGCTCAAAATCCAGCAGCGGATATTGAATCCTTCCTTTTCAGTGCTTGCATCTGAAAAACCTTTGTTCGATGCTTTCCCTTGCTGGGCTCATCTCGAGGAGACAAAAGAAATCCGGAGCAAGCCTGCTCTTCCCTGCACAGCCAAAGGCCTTCGGAAATGGGCGAGAAGCCAGGAGGAAGGTGAGTTTTCTTCCCTGGGGTCCAGCTGAGAGGGTTGTTCATCCCCTATCTCCTTCAAACAAACTGAAATGCCAGGTTCTAATCAAACTCTTCTCTACTGCAATCTACAACCAGTTCCAAATATCACTTCAGACTCCGTAGGAAGGAAATAAAATTTAGTATTCCTAGTCTCTGAAAATGGTAAAAAAAATAAAACATCTTTACACCATGAGATTGGACAGACAGAAATCCTGCACTTTTGATAGGAATTTAGAAACTTTTGGGAACAGAGATGCCAGAAGAAAAGGAGTGTAAAGAGAGCTGGGGGGGGATCATTCCCCACAATAAAATCCCTCATGGTTCCCTCTCCACTTGTCATTAGATAAATGCACAGTATGTCCTAGCTCACCCTTATTTTCCAATGATTCTCTCCTGCATTTTGCACAAATCAGACTGAATTCAGCCCTGAAGCAAGCAAGAACAACTACTGGCTTTGGATGAGTTTCTCTCGTTTAGAGCAAGGCCATTTATGGGGCCTAAGGCCAAAATAAACTACTACATTTCACTCAGTGATACATGAACTGTGCAGCGAGCTAATATTTACATCCATTAACTATGCTCGTAGGAACATGCTCCTTTTTCAACTGTCTCAGAGCCACCAGGTCTCTGTTCCCACAAGCAAGGTAGCTAAAATTTCCATGCTCCTCCTGCTAGCGGGAAAATTCTTTTTTCTTGCACTACCCAGCTATAAAATCAGAAGCCCTACACAGAGTGATTTACTTCAGATTAATTCCAGGCTCTCCAGAGATCTTATCAGTGGAGACAGACAGACACAGAGCCTGTCAGATTACGGCAATTTCTCCATTACAGGAATGGGACTCAGCTGACCGCAGCCTTGGCTGCTCTCACACTATATAAAACACATGAGGCCATGGAAGGGACATGCACAGAGGCAAGGGCTGGTCAAGGGGAGCTGTTGCAAACTCCTCGATGTTCTGACCATGCCAGGATTTGCCAGATGAGGTGAATGAAGGGGATTCTCTCTCCCTCTTTGGTAAGGAAACGGAGAGCTCGCTGTTTTGCCAATGACCAGGCCCAACAAAAATGATACAGCCAGCAGGGAGACGAACCAATATGCAGACTGTATTGTAGACAGAAATGGTACTAGATGAATGACTGCCAGGGGTACAAACAGGTCAACAAGCTCATACATGATCCACGCCGCCCCCAACGATCCCACAAAAGACATGACTCGGCCCACAACAGGTGGTACAAACAGTGAACCGTGGGTTCCCATAGTTGGCATGGGAAACAGCCAGACCAGCCAGTTAAATACATAAGAGAAAGGTGCCCACATGGCAACTCTCACCCGATCGGCCCGCGTTCACAAAGGTCTAAACAGACCAGGGCCCAGCTCCAGGGAGAGTCAGGAGGTCTGCCCTGAACCAGGAAGCTCTGTGGAGTGCACTCCACAGACAGACACTCCTGACTCCCTGCAAGTGGTCCCAGCTTTTATCCCCAAGCAGACACCTGACCTTTGTCAACTCAATGCAGGACCCCTGGGGCTCATTTCCCTTCTGGCTCTCCCTGCAGGGCCGGCCGCACCCTGGGGGGAAGCTATAAGGCAAACTCACCACCTCTTTATGAAGGGCTGTGGGAATGGCCCATATGTCAACCTTAATTCGGGGGCTCGGGGTTCAAACCCCAGCATTTCACTCGCACATTCAATGAAGATGATAAAGGGGACTGTAGGGCAGGATGGCTGCTACAGTCGAGCTCCATTCCTTTGACATGTGATTAATTTATTTTTTTTAAACAATTAATGCCACGGGATCTGTTGGTTTCTACTAACAATACACCACAGGGGCCACTTCTTGTGTACTAATGCTGCTGGCACTACGATGCTTTGCTTTAAATGGCCCCAAATCTGTGATATATCCCAAAAGAGAAAGGTCTTCCCACAGCAGTCCTGTGGTCACACAAGACCATCATTGCTCCTAGGGAGGATAACATGATTCTGTCAGTGACACTAGGAAGGGAATTGCATCCATTCGGTTGCAAAGAAAGAGGATGAGTTCTTCAGTGCCGCAAGAACCCGATGCCCCAGGACCACAACCCACCCCGGTTTTGCCAGGAATGGAAGAGCTTCCTCAGTCTTTTCCAGCAACCTGCTTCCATTTCACGACATCATGTTACCATTTTGCCTGGATATGATGCAATTCAAGGGGTGTCGGACTAACTTCTTGCACAACTGGGTTCTGCTGCACTGAAACGTCAACATCTCTGTTGCAACTGAACGACCCACAGGTCACAGAGTCAAAACCCCACGGCTGCAGCAGAGGGGTTCACTCAACTGCATCCATCCAAAAAGGTCACAGACCTCACCTCTAGTACACAAAATTAAGTAAAATAAAGAGTGAACACTAAAGTGAGTTGAGAATAAGATCAGGGAGCATAAGAGTATACCAGCTCAAAAATCACACCACAGCTGGAGAGTAGGCAGTCAGAAGAAGACTGGATTGCCCTGATACATCCTCAGCACTCCAGGAACTTCTCAAGAGACCAATATACTCTGACGTGTTCTTAGTGTCTCCATAAATTAATGCTTTAATAATAGCAGTTCAGACTGGTTGGGGAAAACAATCCATCACTGCTGTTGCTAGAGTTTTTTTTTTTTGTTTTTTTTTTTTTTTTTTAAAGGAACTTACTTGAAATGTTCATGTTGTTTCAAATCAGAAATTGTTCCCTTTTCATTACCAACCATTTTCTTCTTCAAATTTTTGCCTTCTGTCTACTAGGAAGCAAAGAAAAGCCAGGCAGGGAAAACACCATCATGGAAGATTCTCTTGTTCTTAAAAGAAGAGGTGATGGAAAGGTTTGATTTTAATTTGATACTGGCCAGAAGTAGCCTTTATGTCTAGAAAAAAAAAATAATATTTTCATATAAAACATCTTTTAATAAAACACCCTTCCTAAACAGACCTAGGCAAGGAATTATTTACTCCTTTCTTCAGCAGCACAGACCCTGCAAAGCCTACATGCTTTCCAAACAATTATAAAACCCAAGACAGATGTCAAATAATTAATGGAAAGGGCTGCACTCAACTACTCTATACCTGTTCTCAAAGACACTGTATCAATTCTATAGAACAATGCTGCATTTTCCAAGAAAACACCTTTGTCCCTCCTAACCACAGGCACCTAGGGAGAGCTGACAGATTCTTTTGCTTTTCACTGAGAAGTCACACTTTGGCATGCAGAACAAAAGCACCCTTCAAAACCTTGCCACTAAATACTGTAGCTGAAAGGGCATTTAAAATAAAGAAGTTTTAGAATGAGGGAAAAAAGAACACCAGCCAGAGCAGGTTTTACATATTATTTTCTTTGTGTAACCCTATCCCAAACCCCTCCAAGTAACAAGCATTCCAGAGTGAAGGACTGGCTCCAGGAAAAGGGACACAGACACAGGAAGGCTAGCAAAAAAAACCAAGGTAGGCTAGCTTAGGACAGGCTTTGCTTCTGTGCCATGTGGACTTGGGGCTGAAGGCTGATAGGCT